GGCGAACAGCTGAGGGAGTGGGGTCCCTCACCACTGCGACCATTGCTGGAAAGAAGGTTATGCTGTACACTCAGAAAGGGATTCCCCCTGGGGGCACGTTGCAAGCCACCGCGCTCTACCTTTGGGTCACTGATAACAATCGCACGTTTCACCTCGGGCCCATTTCCATGGACACTAAAAGGAAGTGGACGTCTAACAACACCCTGCTGCACTCTAACAATGCGTTGCACCTTTTACAAGAGAGGGACAGTATAACGACCAAAGTCCTGTCTCTTTCTTCCCTAACGGGTACGCTGAAGAAGATTAAGTCTGTCTTGAAGACTTGGGCAAAACTGGACTCCTTCCTCTCGAACTCGTCTGTGCCCACGGCCGGCCTGGTTGGATTCTTGTCGGATGCATCGGGTGATGGAACTTGGAACGACGCGTACCGTTGCGTGGGTGCAACTGTGACGAATGCAAAGAAGGTCGAAAATGGCTTTAAGTTCACGGGGTCCGAATCATACGCCATGTGGCCGGTGAACATGTGGAAGCATCACTATGCGCACAGCTTTGTGAATTACGCATTCACGCTTGTGGCGACGGTGACGATCGATGAGGTTCCGAACGGGAGCGCTTCTCTGCTGGGTGCGGGACTGGGGGACAATGAAAACACGACGTTTGTGGGGCTGTCGTACACCCTGGCGGACGAGTGGGAGACAGTCTTCAATGGCATGGCAACAATAACCGAGAACACTTGGGAGTCGTGGAAGGAGTACCAGGTGGCGCTCATGCTGCAGGGCAACAAGGGCTCCGTGTACGTGGACGGCGTGCTTGTGGGGAGTTGCGACACACTACCAACCCCTGAGGCACGGGGGCACCACATCACTCACTTTTACTTTGGCGGCGGCAAAGACGGCAGTGCGAAAGTGAAGAATGTCTTTTTGTACAACCGCCCACTGAATGCCGTGGAACTCAAAGCGGTTGGCGACTACGATCCATCTCGGAAACCTGCAGATGACAGCTCCGATGCAGCTGAGCAACGTGAAGATGACAGCTCCGATGCAGCTGAGAAACTTGCAGGTGACAGTTCCACGTGTGCGGATGTATCTCGGTTGCTACTTCTGCTGCTGCTATTGGGGCTATGGGGCTTTGTGGCCCTGTGCTGAGTGGAGCCCGGTGGAGGGGAGTTTGTGCTTCTACGGACAGCACCTCCGTCTGTCCACGCGCCCTGAGAAGTAAATAAAGTCTTCGGTGGACACACATTTATTTTGTTTTCCGTTTTTTTTTGGTTTTACGGATGTGCTTTTTTTTTTTTTATTGTACCCACAAATTGCGCTCTTCTCGGCGCCAGCACAGCGGGGTCTTCAATTTTTTTGTTCCTCCCTTTTTGTTTATTACATTGTTCGCCTTTATCAATGATAGGATACCATTCACCGATTTGCTTTTTGGTGTATCGTC